CACTGATCAGCTATGTTTTGTGAACGCACCCAATACCGCGTCCTGTATGCAGGAGCCATTACTCTGAACGTAGCCCTACTCTTTCCGGGCAGGCGAGATGTTGGTTGGCTACTACAATATTTCCTAGCCAACTTCCGTATTGTGGCAGCGTCACCACGCGATGCGATAGCCAATAAACTTCTAGTTCTTATAGCAAAACGGTACATTCATTGGTTATACGTCACTTTTTGTGTTATCGTCTGTTCTGTGTCAAGAGTCGTTATGGCTCCTGTATGTACACAGGACGCGGTAATGCTTGCCGCGCGGCGGAAGTTCGCGCGACAGCCAATCAATATGCTGCTTTCCGTAATAACCCTCTAGCTCTTATGGAAAAACTACATATTGATTGGCTGTCGCGCGGCGGAAGTTCGCGCGATAGCCAATCAATATGCTACTTTTCGTAATAACCTTTTAGCTCTTACGAAAAAACAACATATTGATTGGTTGTCGCGCGGACTTCCACCGCGCGGCAAGCATTACCGCGTCCTGTGTGCAGGATCCATTACAGTCGGCAACCCTGTTTCTTATCTGCGTTATTTAAGGTTTGTTCGCGTCGCATGCCCCAACGTGCTCCTACTCGCTCCAACGTACTCTGATTGGCTCATGTTACCACGGACCAATCAGAGTACGTTGGAGCGAGTAGGAGCACGTTGGGGCATGCGACACGAACAAACCTTTAGTCTTCCGTTCGCTCGGCCGTTCATTTCCGTCTTCTGCAGCGACGAATAAGTTCGGCGTTACTTATGTTACTTGACTCGACTAGATCGTAAGTCTCAGAAAGGATATATTTTGTCGAAACTGTGACTGCCTGTGCGCTCCTTTTAGCGTTCACGGTCACCTTCACGATCTCGCATCGTTGTGTTGATCATTTTATCAAGTTTCAACGAGTGGTTATTGACAAAAGCAGCATCACAATGACGGACAATCGTAAGTATAAAACAAAAAATAAATACCGCGTGCACACAGAAAATGATCGCGTTATTCTCGACAATGCTATGATGTTTGAAACACTTTGCCCAAATCGAAAATGTACGCTCTGAGGCTAAAAGAAAATGTCTACAACATTGTAATTCGTCATCATTTGAGAATGAACATGGCGGCTTGCGAGAACACGAAAGACCCCGAATACTGCGATCAATTACGATTATTTGTTCATGTTCTCTTGAGAATTGCTGCATTCTTGAAAAATACCAATAATAAATAAACTGTCAATTTTATATATGTTCCAAATTAGCTAAATTGTTACGAGAACTTTCTTTTTATATTTGTTTACAGTCCATAAATTATTAGAGCGTAACATTGTATTATCAGTATTTTTTATATCATCAATTTTTTTTAGCCCCTATTTTTTTCATTTTATCTTTTTCTTCAATGTTTAGATATATAAGATATATCATCTGATGTTAGAATATAAAGTATTTTTATTGTCTTTTATATTAGATGAGAATTTGTTATATTCTTGCTATAAATATTGTATTCAACCAACCTTTCCAACTGTGCAATTTATTTCTTAAAGATTTTCTTCTAATATAAAAAACAATAGAAATATTTTATGATCTAAAATTGGACGATTCATCTTGTATATTAAGACTATTGTTCTAAATTCTCTTTTATTGATAAAAGTATCATAAGTACATTTAGTATATTTAGTACATAGAGACACTTTAATCAATAAAAAAGAATTTATAATAAGGATCTGTGTTCTGATATTTATGAAAATCTGTAGTATGTGTAACATAAAATATAGATTTTCAGCACTAGCAATGAATATTGGAACATGATTTAAATAATATGTGTACATGATATAGTATGTGAACAATTACAATATAAGTATACACAGAGAGATTATGAGGAAATTATGTCAATTTTGTTAAAACTATTTCCATATCAAATGTTTGCAGAATATTCCAATTATCAGCAACAAGGATATAATCAGTATAGCCAACCACCACCTTCAACTGGTCAAGATACATCATATCCACCACCTACGACTGGTGGAGGTGGCTACAATCAGTATAGTCAGCCTCCTCCAAGTACTGGCACCAACTATGGCAATTACAACAACTACAACTCCAACACTGGCCAAGATTACAATCCACCACAAAACCAAGGCAACTACGGACAGAACAACTATGGTGGTGGTAATACAGGTGGTGGTGATGGCGGTAACAATTATAGCGGGAGCTATGGACATGGCAATAGTGGTGGTGGCGGTGGTGGTAGTGGAGGTTACAATCGCAACAACTCTGGTGGTTACAGCGGAGGTAAATGTTTGTTTTTTTATTTTTAGTGTTCAAAATATTACACTTAAACTTTACACAACAGCAAGTATTGTGCATCACAAATTGTGTATATGGTGACAAATAGGTTACCTTAAAAAGTCATTAATTTTAGTGATGACAGATACTTTATACTTGTTGACTTGGTTTTATAAACAATATATACTAGACAGTACAGAAATATTATATGAATGTTCTATGAATATTTCTTTATGATGCAAGAAAAACTGTTATATGTTCATAAGATATTTGGATATATTTGGACAACTATAAATATTCTATAAATGTACATAGAATATTTACAAAGCATAGATTATATTAATTTTGCTTTTATACTTATAAAGGGATTATTTAAATAAAATCTTATTTTATAGATGCATATCAGTACTAAGCTATAATAAATGTGTACTACTATTTAGAACATTAGGAAAATTTTACAATTACATGAATACATTGCACATGTGCAGTAAATAAATTTTACAAATATTCTGAATACATTCCTTCTCATTATAATATAATTATTATAAATATAGGGATCTCTACCTACATAACACTGTATATATATTCATAAAATATTTCCTGTTACTAGCGTCAGTGATAAATGTATATGCGGAAAAATATTTTGTTGCTGAGAAAAGCAATTACTCAGTTTATTCTTTCCTTTAAGAGCTGGTTGTTCTTTTAACGGGTAGTTGATAAGTTAACTAATAGTTAAATCATGTGTAACTTTGTTTTTCTTTCAATTTAGACAAAAACAGACATATGATTTAACTATCAGTTAATTTATCAACAAGTTGGAACACCGGCCCTAAGAGAGAGAGAGAGAGAGAGAGAGAGAGAGAGAGAGAGAGAGAGAGAGAGA